TGCTTTGAAAATTTTTAGTTGTAATATACTAACAGTACTGACATATGCTGACATTTAAAACAGTGCTGACAACCATATCGATACAAGTTTTGTTCCCAATTTTTCACAAAATAAAATTACTATTCATGAAAATTAGTGATTTATCCGAGGATTTATTTTTATTCTTATCAGATTTATATAGAAATCGGAACATTCACGGAACGAATGTTTTAATCGGAACATTTATTAGACGAAATTTGAAATAGGAATTATTAGAGTATTGAAATCGATACAGTTCCCATCACATCGGCAAGTCTGGTCACCTTAAACATCTGGGGTAATATAGGGAAGACCCAACGACACAAACAAAGCCATAAAAATTCTTTGCCCATTGTCCCTGAAACGAGACAAGGTTTTGAAGAGTTCATTCGTCGAATTTTGATTTTATAAAGACGTTTATAAAGCGATGATAGGTAGCAAAAAAACTAGAGAGTGGTTAATTTTGATTTTATTAAATTTATTTTATCTAATGAAAAAATAACGCTCAACTTCTGCATTTACTATCCACCAGATGTTTGGGGGGTGCAGTCGGACCTTTGTTGGTTTGGTTTGTCTATGAGTCGGACGATCTCTTTTTTCCGCATTTATGGTTATTGCACTTCACACTCACAGTGAAGCTGTCGAATTCCATTTAGCCATTTCGTTTACAACCACCGAACCTTTCTCGTGAATCCGTAACTCACTTAATTTTTAATGCAGTTTTGTGAAATTGTGCCATTCAGCGTGGGTTGAATTTACACTAGGTAAGTTAATATAATTCTAATGAAGTAATCATTTTAATTTTTACATGCTTCTGTTGTTTTTGATAACTGTACGTAAATAACAACAACAGTTTTTTCAGACAAACTGGAAATACCACCATTAATCACTGAAGATACTCCCGCTGATTTTGAAGAACTTACGGTGATTGTTTTTGAGAGTGAGGCGCTTTGCCATAACATGTTGCAAAGGTATGTTACTGCAATTTTTTATGAACTAGGTGCTAATGAACATAATTTTACTCTAGACTTGAAACAAATACAAAAAATATGTGCGAAATAAAAGAAATTCTAAAGGAAACGAGTGAACAAATCTCCAATATGAAAACGTCATCAAATGTGACAAATCAAAGTAATAGAAGATATGCCGCCAAGACCACAAGTAACCAAATTTTGAGGAATTAGAAGATTATCTCTGCCTACTACAACAAGCAGGTTTCTTTGTAAGTTAAAAAAATACAATTAGTCCAGTCAAATTAGCGATCAACCTCGGAATGAGAGATAATAAGCTGAATTTTCGTATATACCTTCATTTTAGCGTTCTAAAAGTTGTCTCAAAAGTCTCATAAAATCTCGTGTCTGCGTCGTAAATTATTCAAGGTCAAAGGTCAAGAAAAACATTATTTTGCGATTATCTCGGTTTCTATTGCTCTAATGATGTTAACACCTATTATCATAATTGTAGAGCACAAAATTTGGGACAAATTTTATTTGAAACATTTTTTGATACACTTAATTGTTTTTGAGATAGAGGGCAGTGGGCGCGCAGCGTTCATCAATACATACTGTAATGCAATCAACCGTGAATATCTGTGAATACTACCTTGAATTTTGAAAAATTTGTATTATTTATCAGTTAATACATTGCATTTAATAACATTTTGCATATTTTCAATACATTTATTTAATGATACTTACCTACTTTGTGTAATTAAAAACTCTTTAAATGACATTTATTGTAGGTATATCTTAGGTTAGATTATTGTATATCTTAAAGTTATATTAATTTTTTCAAAGTAAATTTTAAGGAAGTAAAACGAGTTAATATATTTTAATTTTATCTTTATTCAGCAGCTGTACATTTCTTACGATTGAAATTGAATTGCAGTGAAAATCTATAAATTTTTAATAATTTAAAGAACAAAAGTATCAATTTTCTTCTTCTTTACCGTCATCTTCTGGACGTTCGGGAATTTCTGTTTCATCTTCGTCATCTTCGGTGCCCTGAATTGTTGTTTCCAGACCTTCCAGTTATAATCATGATAGAAAAATAAGTATTTAAAAACTTACACATTTTAAAGATATAAATAAATTGAGATATACAATAAATATTTCATTAAATGAGTTTTTAATTACACAAAGTAGGTAAGTATTAGTCTATGAATATATTGAAAATATGTAAAATGTTATTAAATACAATGTATTAATTGATTAATAATACAAATTATTCAAAATTCAAGGTAGTATTCACAGATATTCACGGTTGATTGCATTACAGTACGTATGGACGAGCGCTGCGCGCTCACTGTCCTCTATCTCAAAAACGATTGAGCGCATGAAAAAATATTTCAAATCAAATTTGTTCCAAATTTTGTGCTCTACAATTATGATAATAATTGTTAACATCATTGGAGCAATAGAAACTGAGATAATTGCAAAAAACTGTTTATCTTGACCTTTGACCTTGAATAACTTACGACGCAGACACGAGATTTTATGAGACTTTTGAGACAACTTTTAGAACGCCAAAATTAAGGCGTATACAAAAATTCAGCTTATTGTCTCTCATTCCGAGGTTGATCCCTTTTTTATGCTAAAATGACTGGACTAAATATATTTATATGTACTTACATATAACATAATTTTCGATATTATATACAGGTAGATGCCTGTAATACTATAACACTTTTTAGTCACCTACTAAACATGACACATTTCGCTTAACACGTTACATACATAGTGGGTTGCAGAAAAGTCTTATAGTGAAGCACCCTGTATGTTATACATACGCGGTGACTTCCAAATAGATTCGGAAAAAAAAACCTTTAATTGTCACACGGATTCAAAGTAATTAAATTGCTGCTCCAGTTTCGAGAAACAAATACGGAACATCTTGTTAAATGTAAATCATGCGGCAATGATTTATTCAGTTTCCATTGTGACTAAATTTTTTCTTTATTTTTGCTGTGTGTTGCTTAGATGAAAACAAATGGCACTGAATGATATTTTTTCCCCTGAATTAGGACTAGATAAAAGAAATTACTTAAAATTTTCTCTACTTCGTGATGTTGTGGTTTTATTTTCCGAACTTATTTCAGAGTCACTCGATATATACACATAAAAATATTTTCTTCTTTTCTTATTTCAGGAACTGCTATCGTCCCAGACAGGTGGTAATGGGAAAAAGAACAATGTGGGGGGTATATTAAAAAAAAAAAAAATTCAGTGAATTTGCTGTAGCTTGTTGTTTGTTCGGTAGGAAAATTCCAAAGTGGCTGGGACAAAAACAATGAATATTATGAAAGGTATTTTTTTTTTGCAATAAATATAATTATTACAATTTTTATTTTTGAAGAAATTACAATGAAGACCCATTCCGCAATAGAAAAAGAAGTAGAACAACGCTGCTCAGAGTGGCTACGGCATTCTAGTCAACGCCTGAAGAAAGAAAAAACAACGACAGTTTATAGTTTCTGTGTCTTTTTTTAAGTGTAAATTATATTGTATTATTTTCGAATTAGGAAATCATATATATATTTATTTATTTATATTATGAATTTATATTAATTTTTATATTTTATTACTTATTACATATTATATTTTTTCAAACATTGAATAAAATAATAATTTACTGTAAGCTCTAAATTTTACTCTCCATATCCATATCCCTAAATGGTAACTAGATTTTCTGAAATGCCTATTCATATCGCATAGATCATGTTAATAAAATATACTGAGAGTCATATGTTTACGATGTTGCGATATATACGTAACGTCTATGTCCATTTAATACGTTATATTGGCGTTTAAAATAAAACGTAACAGATACATCAAAATGTAGAGAATCTATCGACATACTAACACAACGTTATGATGATGTACCAGCGAGCACGTCTCTAGTCTGAAACAGTGTGGATGTCACCAGTATGTTACAAGCATGGGTCACTGTTGATTACATTACATAGCACAGGGAAAGCAAATGTACGCAGTTTGGGATGTAACAGCTAACAAGATCGTAGACAGAGTTAAGTGGCATTAACATCGTTACGACGTAACTGTGTTTACTGGGTTACAATATCAAGTGCTAATTACGATTCGGCTTGGGATCTTATAACAAAACGCTTTGAAAATCATCATCTGTTGATAGAGGCACATATACGAAATATTTTAAATGCTCCCACAATAACAAAAGGTTTTTATGACTCTTTACGTAAATTAATTGACGACGTAAAAATTAACTTGGAAGCTCTTAAGGTTTTACAACTTCCTACTCATGAATGGGATGCAATTTTAGTAACATGCTTGGGTGATAAATTAGATTTTCAATCGAATCGAGATTGGCAAGGTAAATTAACAACTAACCTTCCCACATTTGACGAATTAATAGAATTTTTGGAGACTCGTTGTCGTTATCTTGAATCTGTTAATAGCAAAGCACGTCCAAATATTCCAGTTATGTTCAAATCAAACAAATTCAATATTAAACATACAAATCAGACACATTCTTCAGTACATGTTACCGTAAAAAACAATTCATGTTTTGTTTGCAAGGGGAATCATTTTATGCATCAGTGTAATGAATTTCTGCAGATGAATATTAACAATCGCATTGAAAAAACAAAACAGTTGAAACTTTGTTCTAATTGTCTCAGAAAACACAATATCTCAGACTGTAGATCATCACATAATTGTCGCACATGTAATTCACGTCATAATACCTTACTCCATCAAGATCAAGTGATAGTTCAATCAACTAGTAATCATGTGTCATCATTTATTAACAATATTGAAAATTTGCTGTCCACGGCAGTGGTATTTATTATGGACAACCTTGGTTATTTTCACAAATGCAGAATACTATTAGACAGTGGTTCGCAATATAATCTAATAACTAGAGCATTTTCCAAGAAACTAGGACTAAAAACAGGCTTCACTAATCACAAACTAACTTTTGTCAATCAGTCTGAATCCAAGGTTACAGAAATGACAAGCGTAAGTTTAAAAACAAGGTTGAGTGACTATACAGCCAACATTAATTGTTTAATTCTAGAAACAATAACAGAACCACTACCCCTAAATTCATTCTCCGCTCAACAATTAAGTATTCCAAATACCTTGAATCTAGCCGACCCCACATTTAACATTAGCGGTCCTATCGATTTACTCATTGGTTCGGAATTATTCTTGGATATATTAACAGCCGGTAAAATCCTATTAAAACCGTTACTTTATCTGCATAATACCACCCTCGGATGGATTTTGTCGGGGCCTTTGAGTGTAGGATTTTCTAAGGAATTCCCAGCTTCTAATAATACTTCCTGCAATAACAATACAGTGACCATAAATTCTGATCTCGAAAATTTATCTAAACAGGTAGCAAAATTTTAGGAAACAGAGGATTATCACACTAATAAACCAGTACCCGTCCAGCAAGATATTATTTGTGAATCACATTTCAAGGCAAACACAAAAAGGGACGCCAACGGTCGTTTTTGGGTTTCCCTGCCCATAAAAGACAATTGCAAGCAATTAGGGTCTTCCTCCGAAATGGCTCGCAAACGATTTCTCAGTTTAGAAAAGAAACTAAATAAGGATCCAAATTTAAAATGAAAATACGTTGAGTTCATGCGTGAATACGAGGAACTTGGTCACATGGAAAAGGTTCCAAATGATCAATTACATAATCCAAATACATATTACATACCACATCATTCGGTCTTCAAGGGAACAAAAATTCGGGTAGTTTTTGATGGTAGCATGAAGTCCGACAACGGTTTGGCCTTAAATCAAAATTTACTTGCGGGTCCAGTTATTCAGCAGGACATTTTCGACATAACACTTAGGTTCAGAACATTTCAATACGTTATCAACGCTGACATTGCTAAAATGTATCGGCAAATTTATTTAAATACACCCGATCGCGATTACCACCGAATATTTTGGCGTGAAAACAGGGAAGATCCCATGCAAGTCTACCGTTTGACAACAGTCACATATGGGACCACCAGTGCCCCATTTTTAGCAATACGATCACTTCAACAATTAGCACACGAAAACCGGGAGTCATTTCCAAATGCAAGTGCCAAAATCATTCGAGATTTTTGTGTTGGTGACTTACTATCAGGTGCTGATTCCCTGCCACAAGCCATGGAATTACAATCACAAATTGACAACATTTTACGCTCAGGAGGTTTTCATTTAACAAAATGGGCATTTAGTGACATAAATTTAATACCTGAAGTTGATCGCACCTTTACCGACAATTTTAATTTCGACAAGCATGACACAAATTGTTCCGGTTCGAAGTTTGTTAATATTTTGTTTTGATTTTGTTTGTTTTCCCGCGGATTGCTGACAAGTGTATTTTGGTCACTTTCCACTAGAGGCGCCATAGTACCGAGCAAAAGGGCCCGGTACTTGGGGTTGGCGCTGTTATCGGAGAGTCATCGAGAAACCCTCAGAGAGGTAACATCGCTAAGGTGGGCGTTAAGTGAACGCAGTTGCCATCTTGTGTGACGTCAATCGCGAATTGTTGTCGCGAAACTTAGACACGTGGTTCCTTTGTGCATGCGGTCTACAAACCCTCAACCCAGGAGGCTGAACAAAACAAGGTAGGTGACCTTTTGATGCGTTTGTCAGCTTCGATCCAAGTTTTAATATTATTTTTTTTGGAGTTGTAAAATCGCCGCGAAAAAAAAGGTGTTTTCAAAGCCTTTACGTTCAACATATGGTCCTTCGAGCCGGATTTAGGGTAATTACGAGAGATTTGTAGATTCCAGCACAAATTTGTTCTAGTTTTGCTAAGCGTGATTAGCACGCATTTTCATTTGATTTTAAATTATCGGAATACGTAAATTCGAGTTTACATAATGGCTACCGTCGCCGCGCTAAGTAATGGACGCGCTAGTTTGATCAAACGCGTGGAGGCTTTAGTGAATCTATCGCAACAAGCCAGAGTCCACGAAACTGTACGAGGAGAGTTTTTTATTCGAGCCGCGGACTTAAACCACATTGTTGCCCAGTTTGAGCAGCGACAGTTGCAAATTGTCGAATTATGCACCACCCCTGAGGAGCTAGACGAACAATACGAGGTGCAATCAAGATTTGACGATATGCAGTATTCAATTAAATCGGTTGCAGCGGAATTAAATCGCGAGGCCGCGCAGTCATCCGCACCTAGGGGCAATTTAACATCAAACAACGTCAAATTGCCCAAAATTCAAATTCCGACGTTTGACGGTCAGATCAAAAACTGGCCCACATTTTATGATTTGTTTCGGTCGCTTATCCACAATAACCCAAATCTTAGCGCAACTGAAAAATTTCAATATTTGTCGACGTCATTGTCTCGCGAGGCGTCTACCGTCATCAAAAATTTGCCGATTTCGGCGGCAAATTATGCTATCGCATTCGATGCGCTGGTGGCGCGTTATAACAATAAGCGCGTATTATTGACGAATTATTGGCAAGCGATCTATAGTGCACCCAAAGTGAATGGAGATTCGCCGAGTTTGTTGCGAAATTTGTTAAACGTGTTCTCGGAAAATTTGGCCGCGTTGAAGCAGTACGATGAAGTCGATTTGTGGGACTTCACCTTGTTAAATTTAATGTTACAAAAACTGGACACCACGTGGAAACAGAAATTTGAGTTGAGTATTGTAGGAAATTCCGTACCTGCTTACAATGACCTCCAAGAATTTTTGCTTAAACATTGTACCGCGTTGGAAACTTCCGTTATGACAATGGGTCATAATTCCGCATCCGCCCTTCATAAACCCACAGCTGCATCTTCCGTACCTGCTAAGCGTCCCGTGACGTCATCGTTTGTCACGCGATCACCGATCAGCAAGGAACAATGTCTTAATTGTTCGGATGAGCACCCATTAACGAAATGCGATGCTTTCTTAGAAATGGAACCACGGGATAGACATAATTTCGCGCGTAAGAAAAATCTGTGTTATAATTGTTTGTCGAGGGTACATGCTGTTAGCAAATGCCCATCTAAAGTAAACTGTCGGGTATGTAATTGTAGGCATCACACATTATTACATTTTGTCCCCAAACCTAGTGCAGAGTCGGGAGAGGCGTCAGGGGTTGTGGAAAACCCATCTACCGACGACGGTGTCAAAGTTATGACTAACGCGATTCCGACCCGAAGTTTCATTCTGCTGGCGACCGCGCGAATAATTGTGGTGGATTCGCGAGGTAAATACCGTGCATTTAGGGCGCTTTTGGACACTGCCAGCGAGGCCACCTTTGTCACAGAGCGCTGTGCAAAGGTTTTAGGGCTTCCTCAAACTAACGCGGTGGTACCTATTCAAGGCTTAAATCAAATGTCGACAAGCAGTACGTCGGGTGTATTAAAATGCGAAGTGCGGTCGCATTTAGTGCGTAATTTCTCGTTGAAGGCCGAGATGGTAGTTGTGCCTCAAATTTGCGGTGACGTCCCCACAATGGCAGTGTCTCAAGATCAGTTGAGACAATTTCGTCACCTACGCAATTTGGAATTGGCTGATCCGGAATTCGGTACACCACAGCAGGTAGACGTTTTGTTAGGCGCTGATGTTTACGGACAAATCGTGACATCCGGTTTCAAGAAAGGTAGGCTCGAGGAACCGTCCGCGTTAAATACTGTTTTCGGTTGGGTATTGATCGGGAGTATTAAACGTAATAAGCAGAAAACCGTGGTCAGGTCCTTTTGTACGTCCATAGATAACTCTGTAGACGCGGCATTAAAACGCTTTTGGCAGCCTGAGCAAGGCTCACAACGCAGTATGGCGGCCCCGCAAGACGCTTGGTGTGAGGAAAAAGTCACGTCGGCGATCTCACGTGACATCCAAGGTAGATACAACATTCAATTACCTTTCGCCGACAAGACACAGTCCTTATTAGGTCGGTCCTCCGAGTCAGCAGTGCGCCGTTTTCTCGTCCCTGAGTCGCGCCTCTTTGCGGCCGACCTATTGTCATTTGCCCGGGAAACCCTCAAGGGTGTGTTGAACACACACAGGGTGTGTGCATGGCCCGACTTAAGAGTAACGCTAACGGGAATTAAGTCGCGGCCCGGTCATTGGACCACTTTTGTTGCAAATCAAATCGCGCCCATACAAGGTATATTCGAACCTTCGGCATGGAATCATGGAAGCGGCCCTGATAACCCAGCCGACTGCGCCTCGAGGGGGTTACTCCTACAGGAGCTTGTCACACAGCCGCTATGGTGGGCGGATCCCACGTGGTTGACAGGCACTGAGTGGCCTCTACAAGTAGACCTAGAAGTTCCTACCGGTACGGAACTTGAATTACACAGAAGGGAATTGCATCATGCGTTGTTAATACCTGTGCGAATGGTACAAAGTAAGGTGTTTGCCAATGAAGTTCGTTCATTGCAAAAGAATAGCACGTGTTCAAAACCATTCCGCAAACTGACCCCCTTCCTCGACGACGGTTTGATTCGCGTTACCGGAAGATTGCACCAAACGGAACTCCTCTATGAAACTAAGCACCCCTTGTTATTGCCGCGCTCGCACAGTCTAACCGAACTAATCATAGAGGCCGCTCATCGGAAACATTTACATGTCGGATTCCGGACATTACAGTATTTGTTATTGCAAGCAGCGGCCGGTAACTGTACCTTCAAATGGCATTTTAACCCCCCGTCGGCCCACCATATGGGAGGATTATGGGAGCCGGGGGTCAAATCTTTCAAATCCCATCTTAAGCGCGTTGTAGGCGAGCAACCCCTAACCTTCGAAGAATTTAGTACCGTGTTGGCGCAAATTGAAGCCGTATTGAATTCGCGACCCCTGTGTCCGGCCTCCGCGAATAATCCCGATGAACCGTTGGAGACAATGCGGTTAAATCGGTTAAGTAGATGGCAGCTCGTGCAACGGTTGCACCAGGATGTTTGGCATAAGTGGAACACGTCGAATAACCTGCCGTCGGTAGGTGTGCTGGTCGTATTCAAGGGTGATTCGGTGGCCCCGTTGCAATGGCAATTTGGCCGAATTGTCGCGCTGCACCCGGGAAAAGACGGTATAGTGCGAGTTGCACAAGTACGTACCACTTGCGGCATGATCACACGTCCTCGAGTGAAGCTGTGCCCGCTTCCTCGTCAATAGTTTGCATTCATATTGTATTTAGTTTTAGTCATTAGTTTTTAGATTGTCAATTAATCTTATATTGTGCTGGAACCTACGTTTAAAAAAAAAAAAAAAATTTGTTTCATTTTCTTTTGGTGGGCGGAATGTTCCGGTTCGAAGTTTGTTAATATTTTGTTTTGATTTTGTTTGTTTTCCCGCGGATTGCTGACAAGTGTATTTTGGTCACTTTCCACTAGAGGCGCCATAGTACCGAGCAAAAGGGCCCGGTACTTGGGGTTGGCGCTGTTATCGGAGAGTCATCGAGAAACCCTCAGAGAGGTAACATCGCTAAGGTGGGCGTTAAGTGAACGCAGTTGCCATCTTGTGTGACGTCAATCGCGAATTGTTGTCGCGAAACTTAGACACGTGGTTCCTTTGTGCATGCGGTCTACAAACCCTCAACCCAGGAGGCTGAACAAAACAAGGTAGGTGACCTTTTGATGCGTTTGTCAGCTTCGATCCAAGTTTTAATAT